TAGTGTAAGTCACTTCTTCAGAGAATAAATAACCAAATTAAATTAATCCAAGTTTAAATAGTACAACGGAACAATGCAAGAATAATATTTGATCAATCAAAAACAGGTCTGAACAAGTTGATGTCATGTCATTTCTGTCAAGGTGATTCATAAGTGATAAGTATGTAAATTTGTGTGTGTATGTATGTGTGCATTGTTTAAGAATGAACACTTGTGTGACCTATATGGTAAGAAAGGATAGAGTTTAAATTTGTAATATGAAAGTGTGAAATTGTAAATACGATCAGACTGAATGGTTAGGATAGATGGTCCAAGTAGGATGTATGGTAAGGCCTTCTTTTCTATTGAGAGAAGTAGGATTAAGCATTATATGGAACGCCTCGGCTACCCTCCTTTCTTTGTAGTTGGAAAAGCCTTTTTGCAATATTTTGATATTTTTAAAATCGATTTGGTGGTTGTTGAAAATGGCATGAACTGCTATTGTCGATTTAATTTGAAGTTGGTTCAATTCTACCGGATTGTTAGGAGGTTTCTTTGTGTACCTAATATGTTCTTTGTCTCTAGTCACGATTTCGCGGGATGACTCTCCAATATTTAATAAACGATGTTTACAAGACAACATTATCCCTAAATCTCTTGTTATAAAACCTCCAGAACGGTCCTGGAGATCTATCCAGACTTCGCAACACGCGTCTCAAATATTCTTACGAGAACGCATTCACAAATGCACACATTTACTAGAAAAATATCGTGAACGAATCAAAAACCTTGATGATTTACTGAAGCTTTTAATCCCGATCGAATTACAAACCACGATATCCAACCTGTTTATAGAAAGAGAACTCCACTATTTAAATTCCTCGAAACACCGACAAATTAAAAAAATTCGAAAACACCAAAGAAAAGAAGAAAGATAAGAAAACATCAACAATAAAATACAATTTGAATGATCTAAGAACAGTTCATAATCTCTCCAACAGAAACTTAAACAGTCACGAAATCACTCTACTCGAGAAGGGATTAAACTTCAATTTACACAGAAAACCACTTAGCACTCTTGAAATCGCTCCGATTATAGAACCAATGATCGCACAATTACCGGAAAAAGAGTCGCATTTACTACGTCAAAAGACATCCCATATCCTGACGAAACAAAAACACATTACCCCAAACATTTCAAAAGAAGAATTGAAGGCTCTGAATTCACTTAAAAAAGACAAAACGATTATCATCACAAAAGCCGACAAAGGCAACACAACAGTAATCATGAATAAAACAGATTATATTAATAAAGCTCTTGAACATCTCTCAACGGGACATTATGAAAAGATCAATCCCAAAACTTCTCTAACGATTAAGAATAAAGTCAAATCAGAAACAAATCAACTTCTGAACGAGCTAAAACCAATCATTGGGGTCTCGCTTTGGTTTGCTTTGCATCCCAAATCATGTAATGTCTCACGGTTTTATGGCTTACCAAGAATTCATAAACCAGATATTCCGTTAAGACCAATAGTAGACTTCACAAACACCCCAACATATGCACTACCGAAATATTTAAGCAATATATTAAAACCATTACAACTCAACTTACATAATATAATTAAAGACACATATGACTTTAAATCAAAATTATCCGGATTAATCATCGAGAAGAATGAAATCATGGTAAGCTTTGATGTCGTTTCTTTATACACAAGTGTTCCCATTGATAAATGCTTAGAATTCATTAGTGGTTTACTTGAGAACGACAATACTCTTCCTGACAGATGTCCGTTGAGCATCAGTCTAATCATGAAATCCTTAAAACTTTGCTTAAATTCAACGCTTTTTACTTTTAACGGTATTTTATTCAAACAAACTAACGGTGTAGCGATGGGATCCCCCGTGTCACCGATTGTAGCCAACCTTTTTATGGCATACATAGAATCAAATATCTTCGCCCACAACATTATACCACGAATTTGGCTTAGATATGTAGACGATACATTTGTTGTTATAAAAAAGACTCATCTAAGATCTTTTTCAAAACGAATTAATACACTTACATCGCACATCAAATTCACGAATGAAAATGCACATGGTGAGCTACCATTCTTGGATTGCTTAGTAAAAAGAAATCCAAATGGAAGTCTAAACCCATCCATTTACCGAAAGCCGACGCATTCAAATCGTTATATTGACTTCCATTCAGCACATCCTTTCAGTGCTAAGATCTCGCTAGCCTTAAATCTTTTTAGAAGAGCTAACAAGATCATCACATCAGAGGAAGACAAACAAAAAGAACAAATGAATATAATTAGCATCCTACAATTTAATAATTTTCCTATGAAGATTATTAGAAGCATATTAAAACAAAACAGTTTATTACATTATAATAATGATTCGAATGAAATGCCTTGGATTGGCACTGTAGTCCTACCATAGTAGAGAATGTTATTGCTACAACTCCTAAACATATTTCTTGGAACTAAAATAAATGGACGAGCTGTTAAAAATGCACAGGCTTCATAAGTTAATTTTTCCTGCTTAGGACAGTTGTAATGAACAAAGATCCAGGTGGGGATGACCAAATGCATTTTAATACAAAATTACAGAAAGTCTTGGCAAATTACGAGAACCATAAATGAAATGCTTCATTTGCAAATTTCCAACATTTGTCCTTCATGTTTTGTATGATTCATCTGACTCACCATTCCTTTATGATTCCGCTTCCATTTTCTTCAAGTCAACCTTCATAGCCTTCTATTGCCATGTTTTCCACTTCCAATTGGCGTTACATACTACTTATATCTATCGACATAAGTAGCACATACCACACGGTCAATGGTACATAGCAATTCATTTATTTTGAATTTATTGAAAACACTTAACAAATAAGTAAAAATCTAGAAAATATGAGATCTTAGCTAACGGTGTAGTGAACAAGAACACCAGTGGGGACAATCGAATGTACTTAACACACAATTACAGGACTTGTTAATAAAATCTAACAATCACAAAGTAAATGCTTAATTTGCAAAATGTTAACCAGTTGTCTCAAAATGACTCAGAATTCATTGTTCTTACATTTTTATACAAATTGCATCCTGTTTCCATTCTTTATTGTTCGATCCTCTTGTCTCTCTGCTGTCAGACCTTCTGTTCACGACTAACATCATATATTACTTATGACAATATAAGTAGCACACACCACAACGGTATCTTTGACAACTCGGTTAGCAGGACGTTCCCGATTCCCTTAAAAAAAACTGATGAAACTCGATTTTCTTCAGTCATATTTGCTACAACTGATAGTGATAATCATTGTGTGAATAGGTATGTTATAGCAACAGGAGTTAATGTTATCTCGTCATCTCGTTAATGCGTGTTATCGGTGAAAGCAAAAAACGTTGGTCTACAGATGAAATAATTACATTCGGGATAAAGATTTATAGATTGGATTTATGATGAATGCATATCTTTAGGGATATCGATTAAAGCCTTAATCTACAATGCCATTCCGACATGAAACCACTTCAAGCCTTAGTTCTTGGTAAATTTATCATCAAATCTCAATCTTCGAACAGATAAACGCACACTTTCTTACAGTGGATTCCAAATGAGTATCAATGCAGTCAGCAAATGAAACATTCATAGTTAACAAACCACAATAATGAGAGAGTATAACGTTTTTTGGATCCAAAGAATAATGACTGACAGTCCTCTGCATAAAAGACTACATAATTAAATTCTGACGGAACTTAGTGACCGGTTTAAGTAATTAGCAATGAACTACAAGTACTGTGGAGGCTAATGAAACAATTTGGATGTTTAAGTAGGAATAAACATAACATGAGGCATAAAATGATGAAAATTAAACGCTTATACACCAAGAGCTGCAATAGATCACTAATTTTTATTGATGATTAATACAAAATGATTTCAGTAGACGTTTTAGTGAACATATCCATGAGAAAACCGCACCTAAATATAACTGAAGTGGATTAATTAAAATTATCCATGCACAAAAACTTACAATGAAAACAACAATCCGGCAAGCATGAAACATGAAAGTAAAAGGAAACTAGTTTTATACAAGTTCAAGTCTCTTTTATACAAATCACGTGTTTCCCTTAAATAAACATAGCTGAAATACGCTAATACTTTAAAACATTTACAAATAATATAGTTATAAACTCAACATAAACAATAGAATATACGTAGACATTCACTTAGATTTGATTACAATCAAATTGAAGAGAGACAGCATGAATAAAATGATAATGATAATAATAGACATAACTGTATTTTATACAACAAGGTAGATAAATAAAACTATATATAATGAATTGGTTGGTCATTTAATAAGCCTAGTTAATAACAGATGAACAATAATCTGATAGAAAAATGCGGTAATAAATATGGCGCCCTTTATAAGGAAACTTCATGTAACATGTACCATAATTGGAGTGTTGAAGTTTAAAATAGCGCTGATAAGATACATGTACATCTACATATTCATCTTAATTTCAAGTGTACGCCGTCTAATCAAAACGAATGATGTCGATAACAGAGTAAAGGAGTATTTAAAAGTAAAAAAACTATAGTTTTTGATTTATCCATGCTTTTTTTACTAAACTTCGTCAGTTGACATAATGTCACAGCAGTGGGCAGTAGAAAATAGAAAGATTAACTGTATATATACGATAGATAAATAATCCTGTTACAGTTTATTTATTAAGTAGTCTACATAAAAATAAAAATCATTTACAGAAAAACCAACATGGAAAAGAAAATGCAAATGTAATCTGTGTAAATTCTGTTATACATTAAAAAGAGAAGACAATAAGCGCAATGAGTTATTATTGTCTACAAAAATGAATAATATTTACAAATCAATCTTTTGCTTAAGACAAAAAGGTAGAAAGAAAGTAAATTATTGAAAAATGTGTACATTCAATTAACAGAGAAAGAAGAATTCATCAGAAATAATGAAACGGTTATCTTCTTTTTTATCAGGAAAATCTAAAAAGAAAATGCAGTTACACTAATAAAACTATTAGTTAATAATAATACATTCATAGAAAACCTACAATAATATTGACGATTAATTCTTAAGTTAATAATAGGAAATGAAATGAATGTGGCTTTTATCTACCTTACATACTCTATAAGTTTATGCACACTCAATTGATGAGATGACATCAGGTATATACCTTGATGAATTTCAAGAATGTTAATAAAACCAAGTACATAATTGTGTAAGAAGGTTTGAATCTGATTTATTAAACGAAGGTTAGAGATATTATTCGACGTTATAAACTGAGGTAGATACATTGGGGTTCATACTAAACATATAGACCTAAATCATAGTTGTAGACTGATTAAATTTTACCAGCCTTATTCATAGGCGATGCATCGAACTATAAATACAAATGGCAGTAGCCCGTTTTCCTCAGATCTGTCAAAATGAAGACATCATTGGGAGATTAGGAGTCTGTAAATGTGGATGATAATAATGAATAAAGGATCGTGAAGTTGAAAATGGATTTATGAATAAGAAAAGCAAATAATTTACCAATATATTTTCTTTTAATAACTGAAATAAATGAGACACGTTATGCACGCTAAGACCGTAGCAATAATTTTCAGTAGAGCTTGAAGTATGTTTTAAACGGAGATAACAAGTCGACTCACAGAACAAATGGCTGTTAATCTCAAATATCTAGAAAAATGCAGAAGATATTTATTGGGATATCCCAGTATCTGGGGGCCTTAGAATACTAACGAAATCGTACAGCAGTATTCATTTTTTATGAAACATAATAAATCTCGAACCCCCTTCTTTATGTACATTTGAAAATTCTAATAATTTTCTCCTGTATTGTTAAGAAGTACAGAAGCTTGCCTTAATCCATCACTGTCCCAGCTTTGAAACTTTTCAGTCTATATATATATATATATATATATAATATATATATATATATATATATATATATATATATATAGTGTCCATATGTTCATCTAAGAATTATACAAAGGAAATAATATCTTATTTACATATTCCAGAAAACACAGTCGACATTTTCAAAAACTAATTTTGAATACTGTTACAATGCTTTGCCACGACAGTCTAAATCTAACTATAATACATTTATATAACTAAATAGAATACTTAATTAATTTCCGTTAAGTAATGGGTTGAAGTAAATTCATCAGAAAACTTACATAGCTTGTACTGTAATATGGTGGGAATAACCATTTGTAAACCTAATTATATTTTATATATTTATAATTTAAATGAAAGCATTATAAACTTATGCAACACAACTAAAATTAAATGAATGTACAATTTTTTAAAATAAAACATATTATTCACATGAAATTTACCGATTTTAAAGCAACGTCAATGAAATCCTCTACGTGAGTCAACTGAGTTACCACAATATGTTGAATTAGTTATATCAGAAGACCTCATTTGTGAATTATGATGAAGTGTATCTCTTGGCAAAGAGTTATTCTACATGAATAATAATAAAAAATTATTGTACAAATATATTGTATGTTACTAATGTATGAGCATGAATACATACTACTACTGATAAATTAAATTATATCCTTTATAACAAAACAATTAAATACAGACATCTAAATAAAAAAATATTCAAGAGATATCTCTGATAAATAATTCTGTTCTAAAGTAAAATATTTTAAGTGAAAGAAAGTTAGAATAACTGATAAAACCTTTAGTTAACTTAAAATGTCTATATACTACAAATAGAGTAACAAAAACAACCACCGTAATGTACCATTCGAAAAAAATTGAGTAAATTTCTTTCTAGAATAAATAGTTAAATTTTTTTAAAAAAAGGTAGAACTTACTATTACATTTCTGTGGTGAGTTTCGTAAGGACTACGAATATGAGATGATGGTTGTCTATTATATGGATAAATTGTTCCAGAATCGGATGTAGGATAACTAACATGTCTTGAGGATGGATAATAGCAGTATGTTCGATTAGTATTACTATTATTACTGCCAGATTCATTAGGATTATAATATGTATATCGACTACTTGTATTTGTTGTATGTTCATTGGGATAAAAATGATCGGAAGATTGACCTGAATGGAATGTTGACGACGTAAGTCTGTTGCTATGATATCCATCAGATGGCATCTGTCGAGTTATATTGGAATGATATGTATACGAATTTGAGCCAGATGGACTATTTGTACACCGTCTAGAATTATTATAACCATTATTATTATTAGAATAGGATCCCTGAGATTGCGTTGAAGACGATCCATAATGTTGACTATGTGGAATTTCAATCCGAGGTACTTTTGCTATTGGAAAAGAATACTGACCGGATTCATTTGAAACAGATGTAGTGTGAACGGTTGGACTGTAACGTAACCCATGATTATTACTTACAGATTGAGTCCCAGATTGATAGAAATTCAACGATGAAAAATTATAATCTGATGAGCTTGGACGTTTACCTCCACATGATGCAGAAGTGACTGGGAAACACAATAGTTAATTATTAGTATAAGGCTAATAAAAAGGCCTATGATGCATGCCGGTATATTTTAGTAAAACCTTTATCAATATGACATCTTTGCAAAGAAATATGACTTGTGAGGTAGAGTGAGGAAAATAATAAATCATTTTGAAGACTAATCTGCGTATATATAGCTTTTGTGGTGCTAATGTCGTTATTACGTCTGGAGTCGACGCTGTTATATCTGGTGTGTCATCGCTGTTACGTGCGTATCGCCTCATTTGGGTCCGCAGTCTTACTGCTTTTAGACTAGACAATCGGGAACCATAGCAATTCACATGACGCAAAGTAAGAACACGAAAGCCTGGTGCAATGGAAATTTATCGACTCTCCAAAAACACGTCCACAAACAAGTCATAAAGTCACGTCTTCGTTAGACCAAAGCGAAAGTTCACCCTCGTCATATTGAAAGAAGTCCATGCTGAATTTACACCAGAAATATTGACTTTAAAACGTCACACACTAAGTTCACATCTGTCACCCAGGTGGAAATCGATAGTAAATTGATACGAAAAACTATCGACCGAAATAATGTAATCATTTTATTCCATCACAAAGGTCAATCAACCCAGTCGTTGAGGCGATGATAATAACAAATAAAAGGTAAGCCAATGTACCAAATTTAGACCCAGTTTCTACCATAAGTTAACATGATATTTTTAGAATAATCAATACTGACAGTCTTTGCTTCGCACGTTGTTTGCAGAGATCATAGCCGAAATAAGTATGAATAAAAAGTGTGATGAAATTATATTGAAGATTAAAAAAAATAAGAAAGAACAATGTTCCATTTAGTACCTACATAGACACCTAAATAAATGCGGACAATCCCTTGATATTCTCAGGTAAATAACTCAGATTGCAGTGAAAATAATAATATCGTTCTGTTATTCATGACAATATGATCATCTTAGCTGCACATAATCCATTGATGAAATGAAATTAATGTTGATAATTTGGCTATTATATGTTATTTTCAAAAATAAATGATACTTATCAGATGCGTAATGAAAAACATTTCGGTATCTTCCATATGAAACCTACAGACACAGTATCTGGGTTTGCGCAGCCCTTGAGTGAAAAAGTTAATTCACTTCTGTAATAAGTGAATAGATTGGATACGTGGAGTCTATATTTCGACAGTCAGTATAATATCGAAAAGACATTTGTCAATTGAAACCCAGTTTTACACGTGATATATAAAAACAAAGCTTACCAATTGAAGGTAAACTAACAGGAACATCTGATTTAGTAGCAGAACAAAGTATGCTAGTAGCCGGTCCTTGTACTAGTTTCTGTTCACTGCTAACAGGAGGATAACGCCTTTGATTTGAAGGGACATTCGTTACAGAAACACTAGGGACTCCAAGATTTTGACTAACACTAACTGATTGTGTAGAATTTGGTTCTGATGAATAAACAAGAGGTATGGAACTCGACTGATTAGAACTTTTAGAGTTAGAAGTACTTGATAATGCTGTTGAAGACGGTTTATTACTCGTATTTAATGAGAATGGATGTTGATAATTATTTTCAGAATAATGTGAAGATTGAGATAAATCACTAGGAGGGAATTGCGGTGATAAAGATGATGATGACGATGATGATGAAGAAGAATACGATGTAACTGTATTTATAGGACGCGAAGAAGAATTATTGTTCTTTGTAGGAACTTGAATGCTACCTAGAAAAAAATCCATTATTTTTAAAGTTTTTTTTTTCGAAGTAAATGAAAGAATTCAATGGAACATTTCGAGAGAGAAAAATAGTTAAATGAACATCGAAATTATAGGTTACTTATTTTTAAATTTGAGACAGTTTAATAACCGCTGAGTTGTCTAATGAATTAAAATATAGTCGAATCTATATAGATTCATTAGAATACTAGACAAATTCGTCGTTGATTATGAAAAAGAAGATTCATTTACAAATCACTTTTTTAGAATTATATTATTAATAATAGAATATTAATTAATTCTATTTATTTAAATATATTAAATTAATGAAAATAATCTAATATAATACGATGACTATTATATTAATATAAGATTAATGAGTAACAAAATTCTCAGTTAATTTTCTCAACAAAAAAATCAATCGAAATATTTCTAATTGACTTTACAAAACCGCACATCTATATGATCTATGATGTAATAGGAGATTCTATTGAATAAAATAATCAGGTTTAATTTAACAACAAAAAAGAAAAGAAAAACACTTTTGTAAACAAAACAAAATACAAATCTTGAATATAATATAATATCGGAAGGGATTTTTTGTGGACCACCATGGTGGTCTAACTTCAATTGATCCATGATCTCAACTATTGAAATTACTATAATATAGTACTCAATATATCATGTGTTCTTCTATAAACAAAATCTGTAAAACAACTTAAGCTTATGATATGATCATTGTAAATTTATATAAAGATTAAAAATTCTTAGATGTAAATCCATTGGCTAAAAAATGAATTCAGAAACTAATAAGTAAAACAAAAATTATAAAAACCTAATATAATTGATAATAGAACAAGTTCATATTGATAATATTCAATTATGCAATGTTTTATTGGAGATAGGTTAATGTTTACAAACAACTATTACATTTGTAAATATCTTAGGAGTTCATATATGCATGAATAAAATTTACATTAAAATTAGATTAAATTGATATAAACGAACAAATGTAATTAATTTATTGAAGGATATGATAATTCATTTCTAACATACTTTAATGGGTAGCTCCTATAACAATGGACACTTGTAACATCGTCTTACAATTTTTTTGAAAATATCTTTATCGATATTTTGGTCAAAAAATTAAGAACAAACCATTGACTTTATATGACTAACATCAAGATGAAAACTCCTAGTTTTAACATAGTGTCATTCACTGAACCATAGTTGATTTATTTTCATTTACCTGGGTCTTGGTTTTCAATTTATGTTAAGTATTTCGAAATATTTTGCCTAAATATATTCACTCTATTCATACAATAATATGCAGTTAAATATAGCGTGGTTCATTGGGTTGAACGGTAACAAAATGAAACTATTATGTATCACTTGAATAGTGAAGTTAATTACAAACTATAAATGAAATATGTAACGAATGTAATAGATAAATACTTAACTGCCTCTATGTGATCAAGTTCAATAGAGGATGGGAAACTTAAGCATTATCAACCACGAGGAACTATTTACAAGTATCCAGAACAAGTAGTTAACCCGTATAATCGTACAGTAAAGAAACATGTAGTTAAAAAAAGAACATAAAAACCACGGAAAAAAGTACGTTCAAAAACCAGAACTCTTTAAGTTACGGTAAGTGTATGTGAGAAGCAAAAGGGGAATTGAACTTATACGATATCATTTTCAAAACAGATAGCTGAAAAGCCTTATTTATAATATCAGCAACACGTATATCGATAAAGTAAATGATATCATAAAAATTTCAGCAAATTTTATGAGAATGCCTAAACGAAAAGACTGATGAAATCTAACTATATACATGTCGCCAATCCTAGTATATAATCGAGTTTAATCGCGTTGGTGAATAACGGAATTTAAAACAAGAGTGGATTTTGGATACGTATATCTCGTACAATCATTGATCGGAAAGCGAAGCACAACAGGATGAAGTGCAATGGAAAAGGCGAGTGAGCTAAATCAACTTAACCAAGCATTACTCATACTTATAGCAAACAAAAATAGGTTAGACATGTGATGAGTAAGATAAGAAATGCACACATACGCCGCTTGCATAAAAACATTCAGGATCAATAAGCGAATGAGTGACAAGGTCAAAATGTGGTTCAAGACGAATAAATAAATTGGCCTATTCAGAAACTAGAACAACCAATGTGGGCTCGACACAGGGCCAGCCACTACAGATTACACATCTTCCCTAAATGTTTCGCAAACTCAGTCCCCTATTTGTTGGTCATCACCAATATCAGTATGTTATTAAATTAAAAGTAGTATTAAAACATGTCCATGACGCAATAATTAATTAAGATTGTTAATCCCGAATATTATTGTTGATCCATGTTATCATAAACAATTAGCGTGATGGCTAAATTGCATACTAGATAAAACAGGAAGATTTTCACTTAATGCGCAACAACAACAACAACAGCTCAAAGATAGTATCTCAATTACATACACCACAGCTCCTTAAATAGGTACCGGATGTTATAATTTATGCACAAAATTATACAGAATAAAAATGTATTGTACTTATACGCTTACTTGCAGTTTCTCGAGCACTTATGCCCTGTTGTTCATTTTCATCATCAGATAATGTTAAGTCAATAGTGAAGGAGGGAATCTGATAAAAATAATCAAGAAAAATAATAATGAAAAGAAGCAGATTATTTTTTTTAAATTAACTAAAATAGGGACAAAATAAATTTTCATCACGTACTAATATCGGTTAGAGAACGGTTTCACACCAGAAATCATTGAGAGAGCTAGTTGTCCTGTGACTGTTCAGAAATTCTAATAGTGTGTCGTACTTATAACCTTGTTACAGTTGAATGCATGACATCGAGCACAATATATTACTTATTGTGTTGAATAAGAATCTAATAAATCACTTGCATTTTCCAAATCCCTAATCTTTCAAAGATTCTCTAAATGATATCAATCAGTTGTAAGAAATTACCATAAATCGAACAATTTACACATATACAAAATAAAAGAAGAATATTAATAATTGAAATTATGTTTTTTTTGGGGGGGGGATAAAAATCAAAAACAGTCATTAAACATTTAAACTAAAGTTAAATTGTGCAGATGATTTGTGAACATGAAATGGAGAAAAATTCTTTATACATAAAAACGATAGCAGTGAAGAAGAGGAAGAAGAAGAAGAAGAGGAAGAAGAAGACAATAACCCCAACATAACTTTGATTTTATTCTAGCCCATAAAAATAAACAATAAAAATATATTAAAAGTTAAATATATTGTAAAATTTATTCAATCTATTTAAAAATAAAAGATAAATTAATGTTCTAAATAAATAATTAATTTAATAAATGTCCAATATTATTTTCTTATATACTAATTCTAGTGAAGGAGAACACAGGTGAGGACAACCGAATCGTATTTAGCACAAAATTACAGAGTTACTTCGTAAAATAGAAAAATCAAACTATAATACTTAATTTGCAAAATGTTCAATAATTGTCTCGAAATTCATTGTTCTTGCATTTCCATACTAATTGTTTTCTATTCCCGCTCTTCCTTTCTTGATCTTCCTCATCTTCTGCTGCCGGACATTACATTCCTGACTCGCGTCATATACTATTTATATCAATATAAGTAGCACGCACCACAATATCACTATTACTAAACACGTCTATTATAATAGTGAACTTTATAAATATAGATTTCAATAGATTATGACTATGAAAATAGAATTGATAATTGAGATGGTGGAGAAAATTTGTAGCTCAGGTGGATGATTTTGGTGGAGTTTTGTTCTCTGAGCTGGATGGTTTGGTCGTGGAGCTTTCATCGTTCTTCTGAACGACATCAGCACAAACTTCAGGTAGAAGTAAAGTGTTCGAATTTCTCCATATGTGTTCCACAGCTTGTTCTGTGCACCTCGATGTTGATTGGTTCTTATTGACCTTAAATTTATCAACCAAGACAAAGAAGTGAACATCGAGGTGCACAGAACAAGCTGTGGAACACATATGGAGAAATTCGAACACTTTACTTCTACCTGAAGTTTGTGCTGATGATGTCGTTCAGAAGAACGATGAAAGCTCCACGACCAAACCATCCAGCTCAGAGAACAAAACTCTACCAAGATTTGATAATTGTTATTCACAATGCAAAATAGTAAAAATTACAGATTATGCGTGAAATCTTTCCCATCCACGCCCCATCACTCCTTCAATAAAGTAAACTAATAATAAGTCATAGTACATATATAAACAGAGAACAAACCTCTTGGGATATATACTGATTTTGTTCTTTATCTCGTGAAGATTGAACAGTAACCGAGGCCTGATAATTAGTATTAATGGTAGTACTAGTAGTAGAAGTAGTTTTTGTTGTATTTGGGGCAGAAATATTGTCCACATCATTCCTTATCAATGGTGTAATTGCTGCAGTTCGTACAGCAAGTGCAGGAGACATTGATAATGTATTAGGATAGGAATTGTTTGGATTAGACAACGAATTTATTGAACTAGCAGGAGACAAAGTATTAAATGATGGTACAAATGAAGAACCAGCTGAATCAGTAGCTGACCTAATTGAATTTGAAGTAATGTGACTTGAAGCATAGGGGCTTTCTTGTAAACTATATAATTGATTATAATCAGTACACGGAGATGGCTCAGATGGATTTCTACTATTACTATTATTAGTATTATTATCATTAGTATTTTCTAATTGATTAGAAGCCATTTCTTCGCCTAGGGCCGACCAAGAACCATCCGAATGAAATATAATTTCTTCTAGATCTTGAGAACGTTTAGAATTCAATATTTCTAAGAATAAACTTTTAGAAAAAGTAAGTAAACAAAATTTTCAGCTTGACAGATTATAAGTATACAAGAAAAAATACATCTTTATAGACTTGAAAAAAAGTTCCATGAAATTGGTGTGCTTTACGAATTCGAACAAAGCCATAACAATAATTAAGGCAGAATACTATAAATTCACTATATTTCGTGATTTCTTATCAACCGTTTACATCCATTGATGTGTATTAAAATGTAACATTGAGTTATGATATAATGTGAAACAATTAACGTTACAGACGGGAAGAAAACTAAAATAGCAAAGATTATTAATGATAACTATATATACATATATGCAAGAACAGGCGTGAGGTCATTTGAAAATGAGGGTGTGAGGCAGCAATTAAACGAAGTCCAGAAACAGATAAAATAGGTTGTGTGATAATTAGAGAAGCTTTGGATCACTTAAAAGTATATATAGAAGATTTAGAGCAGTGGGGTGACTAAGTGTCTAGAATTATAAATTGCAGGTTTATGTAATAATTAAACAATATTTAAAGTTTCTCTAAGTTTAGAAAATTGAGTGAATGGAGAAAAAATCGATGAATAAGAGGATGGTTTCAGTGTATATGAAATAAGAATTAGTTTGATGAAGACCGCATAACAAAATAAACACTAATAGTGGTAAGGATAATAAAAAACAATAATTCCACGTGATATTAGCAAACGCTATAAGTTTACTAAAGTAGAGATAAGTTGATTAATGTCATTTTCTGGACACAAATTAGGTCTGAGTTGTTTCATCGCTACTGCTCCGGCAAACCGGAGAAGCGCTGTGTTTTTATATCTACTGACAATTTTTAAGGATTGGAAAATGTCAATGGTATGCCCGATTTCAATTAAATACCGAGCTACTGTACTAATTGGAGCCGTTAAGCCTCTCAGTCTTAAATTATTTGGAACGTGCTTAGAAATGCGAAAGTAGTAAAATATTCTTGTCATTGATCGTCAGACAGCTACAACGTAGGACCAGGCACATATATGCATCGGTCCAAGTTGCCATACCGCGTCAGCACAGCAAGATGAACACCGGATTCATAGGAGTGGTTAAGTCAATGGTGGTAATACATAAAAGAAAGATTGCATATAAGGATATAGTACAGGAAGAAAGAAGTATTTCGTAGAAAGAAAAATGTGAAATAATTATAATCTCATAGTCTAAGGGGAGACAGAGAGTGCATACACCTACGCCATTGTGATCGATTCTGAGCCATGTCACCCAGTCTCTAACCATTGGTTACGATAGTCACGCGGACCCCAATCAAGTAGTCTGCATCTACTAACATGGCTCGGACTACAAGTTAGTGACTCCAAGTACTGATGCCACGTTTTAGTTGGGCCGCCCCTAACTTTCTTCCAACCATCCCCAACACTAGTCAGCATTGAGCGTCGTGGTAATCGACGTTCAGGCATACGTAACACGTGTTCCCAACTATCTCAGTCGATGAAGATTCACAACCTCATCAACCGATTTACCATCATTCCCTAATACTCTGCGTCTAACCTCATTATTACTTACCCACTGGTCCCAGCAGACGCCAGCAATATTTCTGAGACCTCTGTGATCAAATACTAGTAACTTACGCGTATCTTCTACCCTTGATGGACACGTTTCACAGCCGTGAAGCAGAACAGAACGAACTGCCGCGCAGTATACTCGTTCTTTTATTGATAGACGGATATCTCGCCTTTTTTATGTAGTTGTTATCAAGATATAATATGCAAAAAAGCACAAAGACCAGGAATGTTGTTTTAAGATTATTATGGCTAGAAGTGTTGTATTATGATGATAGAGTTAAGCTGGTAGCATCCCGAAAATATATTATTTGTAATTATAGTTTCCTTTCTTAATGTCCATTTCATCTACAAAAGTTTCACCCTGATTGACTGGTTAATACGAAAGTTATTTTACAAATCGCTCAAAACAGTCAGTATTGGTCAGTTTTGCCTCAACCTGTTCCTAATATGCTGAAATTATGGGATTTGCATGAACTAATTTTTAGACTTCCTTGTTCCAATACTTCTGAGTATTTTAGATATACACAGCTTAGCCGAATGCTGTCTTTTATTATGAATAATATGTGTCGACAGTGCATTCGTTCATAAAGAAATAAATCACAAAGTAAGCACCTATTACACCTTTATTATTATTTCCTACAAGAAACAATACCATCAAGCAATGCTAAAACCGATAGCAAACAATGCAACAACCCAGAGAAACTTTTAGTTTAGTGGTCTCATTTTATTGACAGACTTTGACTAAAACCAAGACAAAGTAGAAATGATCTGGCTAAAAATAAACCAACCGACATACATTTCATACACAAAACACGATACTCAAACCACCCTTGTCTGATTTCTACCACTGGTATAGTAAAATCAAATTCTAAAGGATTTTAAAAACTCACCCATCAACTATCAAATCTTCGTAAACAGCTTTACCATCGCATACAGGACAATTCCAAGTTGGTTTACGTTCATTAATTATAAGATAAGTTGTTGCATCATAGCACTGAACATGACGACAATTACGTCCACGTACAGGTACTTCAATACGACATTTAGATAAAGGACAAAGAAGTTGAACAGGAAGTGTATTTGGCATAACTAAATCGTCATCATCATCATCGTCATTCTCATTACGGGCTAAAGACTGACTTTGGTTGTTAACACTACCAATATTACCAGTGGTAGCGTTAGGACTAAGTTTTTTTATGATTTCCATCTGAGTGGAAATTAAATAAATATTTGTAAAACAAAATTATTACGGACTAATAATACAGGCAAAATAGGGAAATTTTCCAAAATACCTAGTGCTGACCAATGGAAGATTGTGGTGTCCGGTGACATGTCAAACCCACACACCGTATTCTAGTTTTCGGGCAGGCCAACTTATTCATTCTTACTGAGTCACATTTTGACCATGTCACTTATTCGCTTATCAACCTTGACTGTTTTTATGTAAGCGTATGTGTGCATTTCTTATATTATTCATTACGTATCTGTAAATTATTTTTGTCTGTCTATAAATATTGAGTAATGCTTAGTTAAATTGATTTGGTTCATATGCCTTCTCCGGTTCGTTTCGCTTCGCTCTCTCCTCTTCGCTTTTTCCGCTACTTCTCTCTGACTGTCTGTCTTGATCAACGATTGTACAAAATAAAAGTATTCAAACTTAATTCTCGTATTTGACTTATTCACTAACACGATCTATGCCGATAATTTTATACATGGATTGACAATATGTAAATTTCCTTAATGATAATCACACGATCAAATTGGAGTCAGATAATGGGCCACAAAAAGAGAAACGGTCACATCTGTGATTAAAATGACACTTATGCTACCAAATAATTGCAATTTGTATATTCCGAAATTCTACTAAACAAATTTTAATCACTGAACTATCCACAGTTTTTCACTTAGTTGTGATCGATCTGAGTTAATCAAGCAGTTGTGATTAAGAATAATAAGGCGATGAATTCAGTCAGTCAGTCAGTCAGTCAGTAACAACGTAGAACTTCGTACGTACGTACATCAGTTCGAGTTGCCACACCACATTAGCACAGAGATGCACTTGTCGATTCAAATCCCGTAGTGGTAGAGGTAATAAGAGTATAAGCAGTAATTGGGAAGATTAGGGTTTGGAGATGTTATTTAAAGAGTATAATCCAGTGAAAGAAATTTGGAAAGAGGAAAAAAGAAAGGGACATGAAGAATTCAGAAGATTAGAATTTGGGAGAACACAGAGAGTGGATGCACCTGCGCCATCGCAAACGATTTTGAGCCATGTCATTCAGGGTCTCTAACCATCGGTTGCTGTCATCTTGCGGTCCCCAACCAGGTAGTCTACACCTACCAACATGACTCAGTTCACTTGTCAGTGACTTCATGGACTTGTGCCATGTTTTGGTTTGGCCGCCTCTAGCTTTCTTCCAACCTACTCCTATACCACTGAACATAGCACGTCGAGGCAGTCGGTCGTTGGGCATACGTAACACGTGTCCCAGCCATCTCAACTGATGAAGTTTCACTACGTCATCAATTGATTTGCCATCCTTACCTAGTACCCGTTTCCTAACAACTGTGTTACTTACTCGATGGTCCCATGATATACGAGCAATGTTTCGAAGACACCTATGATCAAATACTAGTAACCTACGGATATCCTCTACTCTTACCGGCCATGTTTCACTGCCATGAAGTAGGACGGAACGAACTGCTGCGCAGTAAACACGTCCTTTGGTTGATAGACTGATATCTCGCCTACGCCATAAATGACGCAAGTTGGCAAAAGCTAGTCGAGCCTTCTGTATCCGTGCTGAGATTTCGTCACACACTAAACCACAAGGGCTGATGAGACTTCCAAGATAAGTGAAGCGGTCGACACACTCAACTACTTCACTCCCTATCACTAGTTCGGGTGTCGATGTAACCCAATCCTGAAGCAACATTTTGCATTTCGAGGGAGAGAATCGCATCCCGAACATGCTTGCATTGTTGCTTAGAGTGGTCAGAAGACTCTGCATTTTGTCAGCGTCTTCACCAAATAAAACTATGTCATCAGCATATTCTAAGTCAACAAGTGAACCTCCTGGTAGAAGTTCAACCCCTGTAAATTTAGATGAGGAAAGTGTTATCTCTAAAAGTACGTCAATGACAAAGTTGAACAAGAATGGGGAGAGTGGACAGCCCTGACGAACACCACTTGAGGTGATCAATTCTGATGACAGTTCGCCATAAGCTCTCACTCTACCAGTTGTGTTCGAGTAGAGAGCCTTTTAAGGTTAATGTACTTCTTTGGTACTCCTTTCACTGACAAACACTGCCATAGAACCTCACGATCAATAGAGTCGAATGCCGCCTTAAGGTCGAGAAATACTACCATTGTGGGGCGTCTGAATGTGTGTCTGTGTTCTAGAACCTGACGTAGTGTGAATATCTGATCTATACAACCACGTCCAGGTCGAAAACCAGCCTGGTTTTCTCTAGTCTGCTCTTCACGAGCTTTAGTTAGGCGTCGAAGTATTATTGAGGCTAATATTTTAGACACTATATTAGTCAAACTGATTCCTCTGTGATTGTCACAAGAGGACTTTTGTCCTTTCTTAAAAACTGGCACAATCAGTGATTGAGACCAGTCAGATGGGATTACGTCCAGTTCCCAGATTCTACCTAAGACCTCAGTTAATCTCATTGCTAATACTGGACCACCATCCTTAAAAATCTCAGGAGTAAACCTGTCAGGGCCTGCTGCTCTCCCTCGCTTCAGATTTCCTATGGCTTTTTCAACTTCGTAAATGGACGGAGGACCTACATTAACTTGCCATTCAGGTTGACTGGAGATCGTGGGAAACCGAAGTGTGGCTGAAGGCCAGTTGAACTGATCCCTAAAGTGTTCTGCCCATCGATCCAATCTCCTGGATTGAGAATGAATAATGTGTCCATCTTTCTCTGAGATTGTTTCGCTAACGGTCGGGTTCCTAATTCCGGTTTCCTTAACGAGTCTAAACAATTGTCTGCTATTACCTATTGCCGCTGCCTTTTCCATCTCTCTTGCTTTCGCTACCCACCACTGTTCGCGATCATTGCGTAGACTTCTTGTCAGCTTGCGCTTAAGCTGACTCCGCTCTTCATTATGTTCAGAGCCAGGTGGAATGAGTTTCCGAGCATCTATCAGTGCGATAGATGCTGCTGAGATCCAGTGTTGCTCCCTAACCTTCTGGTTTACCTTACTAGCAGATATCACTGCTGTTTCCACAGCTTTTCGGATATCATTCCATGCTGCATCGGGGTGGGCATCACATACATGGCTGCCTAACTGTTTTCCTAGTTGTTCCTGAAATATATTCTTAGCTTGACTATCATTAAGTAGGGCCCTAAGAGGTTTCCTTGCAGGATCTTTCCTACGTCCAGTAAGACGCAAGCAAATACGCGCTCGCACTAGAGCATGATCTGAATCTAGGCATGTGCTCCAGAATGAGCGACAGTCTTCTATCGAGCCCCTCCATCGGTGGCTGATAGCGATGTGATCTATTTGGGTCTAACGTTGGGACGAATTAGGGGGTCGCCATGTTAAAAGATGTTTTTCCTTATGCTTAAAGTTAGTATTTGCAAGGAACAGGCGGTTATCTGAGCATAGCTGCAACAGACGGTCGCCATTATCTGTTCTTTGAGCCACGACACCATAGGATCCACCTAGGTGTCTTTCCTTATCGCTTAGTTTACCTACTTGAGCATTAAAGTCACCGGCCACTATTACTACATCCGAGCGCTTAGCTTTTCGGAGAAGGTCCGAAAGCTTTCTGTAAAACTCATCTTTTACATCATCTGAGCTGCAGTCAGTGGGAGAATAGGCAGAGACAACAAGAGGCAACGACGAGTGTCCCTATCTTTCCGGATTCTTACTGTTCCGTTCAGTCGGACAGCGCACAAACGACTGTTTACTGGGATCCACTCTAAGAGAGCTAGTTCTGCCCTAGGACTCAATGCTATACCTACGCCGGCGAGGCCACGGGAAGCAGAATCAGGGCTTCCAGATACACGAAGCGTAAATCGAGTCGGTTCTTTATTTTGGCATGGTGAGGTCAAATGAATGACGCTACTTGGATCCTGTATGCGCGTTTCGGAGACGCAGCACACATCGATGGCGCGAGATTCTAAAGTTTTAGCTAAGGAAGCCTGCTGTCCTATTTGGCAAAGTGTTCGTACGTTAAAAGCTCCTACGTGTAGTTTAGAGCGTGGTTTCAGGAGACCAGGAATGGCGTTCCACGTACTCGAATCGTTTGCCCTAGCGGTGCGAGGTGATAAAGAGACGTGAGGAGGGTTAGTCGGGAGGATAAGAGAGGTATTAGAAGGTGTAGGAAGGATTTGAATGTGACCACCTTGGTCTCTTGTGCTGTTACGGGTATGAGGGCTGATTTCACTTCCCGGCTGCCCACACCGTGGAAGGGTATTTCTTGAGGAACCTGAAAAGGAAATTGGATTAGTGTTGGTCTTGACGACCTGGGAGCGTGACCGCAGAGCCCAAGGGACAACTGCTTGAGGCCGGTCGCGCACGGCCTTTTTGCGGAAGGTTTTTAATCTGCTAGCTCCGTTCTTCAAGGGGCCTTACCGCCGGAGACGGAAATCCGTGAGGTAAGGTGAGGTGTGCATTTTTAGGGTCGACCTTTTCTAACCCCACCCCTCCTTGTGGGAAGGCAGCATCGCTGTCATGCTGGTTGTCCGAGGGAAACACCTTACTGCTGTCACACCTCTCTACAGTCAGCAGTACGACTTCGCCCTCAGACCTTGAGTTGCTGCTTTTAGTCTTACCGTTCGCCAATCGACCTGCCTGGCATGGTAGAACCTGCAGGAACATATGTTCCAGCGATGAATTATAAAGACAAGTTTAATATTCATTCTAAATGAAAACTATACACAATATTTAATAGCTGAAATAAAAATGAGGACTAGTAATGAGTTTGAGAGACTTGATTACCGACGGATTGGACAAATAATCTAGAACCAACAGTCCAAATACGGCTACCACAAAGGTTTTGTTTATAATTTAATTAGTCTCAAGTAATAAGAGAGTTTGTTAACCAATCACCTACACAAATGCTTCAATCGATATTTAATATATTCGTTTAAATGTACAATTAGTTGGGGAGCAGACCCAAAAAACAATGGCCCAAATCGACAATAACGTTTATAATAATGAAGCGTCTACAAATAAGGACAGAGACTTACTTTCATTACACTAGCATTTTGAAATGAAGTCGAATGTAGAAGACCACATAATTGTTGAGGCGAACGTCTACGCATCAAGTATATTCCAACAACATTATAAGTATAGCTAGAATAATCATGAGTCCAAGTTAATTTAATATAGTTTGGAACAGTAGGGGAAACATGAAGCTAATAAATAAGAAAGTTTGGAAAAAAAATCCAAGTTAATCTTAAATTAATCCAAAATCAAAATACCATTCCCAGTTCCACCAAATAATTTTCATCAAGACGGTTCAACTACATGATAACTTCAAAAAATGCACAAGATAATCTCAAATTCATTATGATCTGACTGGATAAATTTGAAGTCTATCGTTCAGATTATAACACGTCATAGCCTTAAATAAAAATGAAGTTAACCCTTCCTGAAGAGTTAAGCAAGAGTTATAAATGGATAAGTAAATGGAAATCGAAAAATTCTAAAACTATTCCCTCAGTGAAAAACTATATATATATATATATATATATATATATATATATATATATATATATATATATATATATATATTCAGATTAGGATCGAACCCAAAACCTTTAGGTGTCATGGTGAGTACGATAGCTTTAAAGTTATTCTGAGTTTAAAAGTTTCCAACTTCAATCAATTTCGAATATTGTGCGACCATTAGGTAATGTAATCACTAAACAGATTTTTTCAGTGCTCCTTGACTTTCGATAGTTCTCTAGTTCATGAATTTGTCTGTAACCAAAACTACCCTCCAGCTTTATGATTACAATTGAAGAACAACAACCATGAAACCAGCTTCAAAAGATTTCTTCATCAATTCTAAGTATTTTCCCAGCGAACAAACAAACTAAGGTTAGTTGTTTTTCTGTTATATACTTATGAAAGATTTTATTCTATATCCGACAACTGAAATACACGATTATTAGAATATTTTCAAACGTAACGATCTCACACTTTGTTATTTATTTCACAACCCAAAGATAACAAAAGTATGTACAATCAGTACATCATAAAACTCCTTCCCCAAAAATATAGTTCATGATTTTATTGTCATTTAAGATTTTACAATAATAGACTAATCTACGAAAAAAATCCTAATGTCATATTAATCAATGGAAGCAAAAGAAATCGCTATTTAAATTACGGACAAATGTCTCATTTACAAATATAAACAAATATACTTACAGACTGAGTGATATTAATAGGTCTAGGATTACGACGTCCATCCATTCCTGGACGATTACTTGGTAAAAGAGGTGGGAGTTGGATAGGCCGACCATTTACTTGGATTATCAAATGAACTGGTAAACTATCTTCAGCTAATGGTATTTGAATGAGTTTATCCAATGATAAACTAGATGACTTGCGACTACCATACAACTCATATGTCTGTACTAGATGTTGGCAGGCTTGGGGATCTAGACGAGCAAAACGCATAATAACTTGCACTCCGAATTCCATTCGTTCATCAGATCCACGCCAGCTAAAAAGCATTGACATCAATAAATCTACTTTTGATAATCTTAAAAATATTACATAATTTGCATTCTAGTGTAAATTGCATACAAGAAAAACAGATGAATTGTCTTACAAAACCATTCAATTAATTTATTGATTTTACCGTGAATAAATTAAGTGTAATATCAGTGGACCAAAATACTTTGTTTTTTAAATCCCAAAATTACAGATTTCTGTTGGTGATGCATCGAAATCTTTATTTATCGAGGAAAATAGGTAACGAAAAATTGACATGAGGAAATTCCCGGTACCTTAAGTTCGAGTTTGCCATAATGATTTGTCTCTGTATGAAGATAGTGTTAAGAAAATATCTCCTCATAATGGGAACTCAAATCTCCCTCCCTTAAGTCCTGTTCTCAGTGGGTGGTTTGTGATACCATGACGAAAACTTCTACAAATACCCATACGTTTTTTTATTATATCATCGTAGGTAGCAGCGGCAAATATACTTGTCTCCCAAAGGCTGGTGACTGGGAGTAAACTGAAACAAAGTTGAGTCGACCACTTTATTGGTTCGCTCGATCAAGTTGAGTTGGAGCTGCTAAATATATAAAAGTTTCAGTCAAAAAAACTATAGTTTGTTGCTAGTATCATGATAGGAAATACCCTGGTTACAAGTATAATTTACTCACTCGGCTTTGAGTAGCAACCTTACTGAGAGAGTACCCGGGGAAAAAAACAAGTAGAATGGGACTCAGACGTGTGACTGAATTGCTCTAGGTTTAATTCCAAGCTACTATTCCCTGGTACAAGCAGTTACTAACCGCTAGATCGCAACATCTGTTACAGCCGCTTCAGCTAAGAAGTCTGGATAATACTTCTAGTTTAAAATAAAATCTATCTAAACTCAGAGAAGAAATGCTTTTAATTGGTGAACGCGGTGTATTTGCTAACAAATAACTAGTATTACCAGGATAGAATTCTGACGATGACATGATAGGTGAATCAAATCAATGATGAAAACTGAGATGATTCTTTTTGCAAAACGGTAAGCTATTCCTAAAGACTATAATATCTTAGAAGCCATGTTAGTCAAGTTAACTGCTTTTTGAATTACTCCCCTTTTCTTTAAACTGCAATGATCAACAGCCATGTGTAATCCTATAAGAAACATTTCAGATCCATAAACCCAAGTCACTTTTGCAGTTAATTTGGTCAAGAATTCACGATTATTATTCTAATAGAAGCAAACTAACAGATCTTGTCGCTTTCTCTCATCTCAGATTTGCCACCAATTTTCCAATTATAGTAAAACTTTAAAAGCCGATAAATATATCCTACTCATACGGTTTTGGAATGAAAAATAACCAAAACGTAGCCAGAAGTTAGTTAAAATGTTTCTTCTATGTTTTTTACATCAATTCGGAAAATTAATCAAGGTAATGTTTTTCTCAGAGACAATCCTAACGATCACTAACTTTGCATGCTACTCCTTAGCTAAATATCACCTGGTAACTGAATCGCTTCTGTAGCCACCATCTTCTGAGCATAGCTGTCCCTATACAAAGGTTTAAAATTAAAAGTGCATTTATAAATATCACAGGATTTGGTCGATTGTATTCTATATCATCTATCTTAATTTTACTCCAACATCCGCCCAGATAAGATCAAGGAAATGAATGTACTCGATTCTACAATGCGTGGTTCACAAACAAAAATTCCGTGGCCAAGGGTGATAGTTTCGGTTAATGATGACTGTTGTTAGACTTCACGTAAGGCTAAGAGCTAGGGTGTTGAGGGCGTCGACATAAAGTTACCAGTATGGTTTTAAGAAATAAGAAATGATGTTGGGTAATAACCGCGAATATACTAGAAAACTTTAGGTTTTCAACACAAAGATTCTTATGAAAGTTTTTCGGAAAAATGCAGAGCAAGCACAAGTAAATCTGTCATCCCACATAAGACTACACACAAGTAACCAAAACGACGAGAGAAATCATACTCACCAGTGATAAGTAATGGTTTCGACTTGGTCAGATGTGAACCTCAAGGCCAAAGAACGGTCATAAGATCGACGTCCAGTAGCAAAACCAATGTGGGCCGGGAGAATGATTTGCGGAGGTAAAAGAACATCGATCAGTTTGAAAAATGGAGACTCTTTGAAATTGAATTCAGGTAAAACAGCGGGAAGCCGAAACGATCCATCAACTACATAATTGCGTGTTACAAATTAAGAGTAAACTTGTCTTATCGAGAGGAATAAATGCGTTGTAATCATTATTATATGAAAAACATATTAACAGTAGGACCTGAAAGGCCTAGGAAGAAAACTCTAATAACTCATACTACATTCATTTTTAGGAAGTAACAGAAGCTGAAGGTAAATCCGGGCGAAACTATTTGGAACACGAATACAAGATAAACAGAACTGTTAAACATAAGAGGAATACGTCCATTTGCAATCCCAAAACATCCACTTCCGCAATATTCGTAGTGTCCCCCAATTTTGAAACTTTACTTATCAACAAACCATTTTCAGTTAAGAAACCACTCAAAACCATCCTAAGTGCAAATGACAACTTTTACTAAATCTTTTTACAAGTGAATAAAGTATTTGTACTTTAATTGAGGAATGTTCGGTAAGAGGATAAATAACTGGGCTTTTAACTACCCAGTAGATCAGAAGCTCATCCTAAATGTTTCTGTTTATTTATTTATTTGAACACATAAATATTGGTACAAAGGGGTACCAAATATATATGCGCCACACAGAGCAGTGAGAATGGGGAGAAAAAAAGGAGCGTAAAATAAAAAAGAATAATAACGACCAAATTGGTGTAAGGTAGTGTAATAATAATGTTACAGCAGGATCACCACTAGCTTCTATTCTGAGCCATATCTGATAACGTCTCTAGCCACTGTGTCACACCATCTCTAGGACCCCAGCCAGGGAGTCGTGAAGGACCAACGCAAGCCAGCCCTTTTCAGCTTTCTTACATACCCCGACACCATGTCATAGACTGACCACCTCTCCGCTTTTTCCAACTAGTCCCAGAGTCGGCAAATAATGCACGACGTGGAATTCTCTGGGACGACATTCGTAGAACATGTCCAAGCCACCGAAGTCGCTGTTTCAAGATGGTGGCACCAATTGCATTATCGTCTCTGTGCCCGAACACACAACGCCGAACCACTGCATTACTAACATGGTGTTGCCACTGGATGTCAGCAATCCTTCGGAGACAGCGATGATCAAACACAGAGAGTCTTCTGACATCCTCAACTCGGAGAGGCCAGGTTTCACAAGCATAGAGCAAAACTGCTCTCACCGACGCGTTGTAGATCCGGCCTTTTACAGCCAGACTAACATCACGAAGGCGCCATAGATGGCCCAGATTGGCATAAGCCGCTCTGGCTTTCACTATTCGTGCATTGATCTCATCACTCACACCCCCACCAGCACTTATGCAGCTACCCAGATACACGAACTTCTCAACTACGTCTATCTGCTCACAATCCAGGGTGAGTACAGGATTAGAATACTGCCAGTCTTGTAGAAGTACTTTGCACTTCGAAGGTGCAAAGCACATACCATACCTACGGACACTGATTGCCAACTGATTAAGTGCGGATTGCATGCCTTGGGCATTATCGCACAGTAAGACAATATCGTCCGCATACTCAAGGTCGAGAAGTCTTTCTCCAGGCAACAGATCCACACCACCATTACTTACATTCATCAGAGCTGTTTCCAGAATGTCATCGATGGCAAAGTTGAAGAGGAATGGTGAGATAGGGCAACCCTGCCTAACCCCACTGCTCGAATGGAACAATGGAGAAAGGTGGTTGTATGCCCTCACTCTGCCTGAGGTGTTTTTATACAGGGCTTTTAGGATGTTAATAAACTTCTCAGGCACACCCTTCTTCAATAGACAATCCCAGAGAACAGCCCTGTCCAGCGAATCGAAGGCAGCCCTGATGTCAAGAAACACTACGATTGTTGGCCTTTGATTAGTATGGCGGTGTTCTAACATTTGGCGGAGGGTGAAGATATGATCAATACATCCTCGACCAGAACGAAACCCAGCCTGCTCCTCGCGAGTCAATCTTTCTCGGGTTTTGAACAACCTACGAAGTATGACGGAAACCAATAGCTTGGACGCAATCGGAAGTAGACTTATCCCCCGATAGTTGTTACAGGAACGACGTGAACCCTTTTTAAAGATAGGGACAACTATCGACTCATTCCATGACGTTGGTACACTCTCTAGTTCCCAGACCTTTGTAAACAACACAGTCAGTTCCTTAGCCAGAAAGTCATCACCATCTTTAAAATGAGTAAGTCATCTGGGCCCGATGATTTGTAGCACTTCAAGAGTTGAAGTTCCTTGCGGACTTCCACCTCATTTAGTGGATCAGTCGTCACCGGCCATGGAGGGCAGGACAGTCTGACCGATGTTGCCGGAGCAGCAGGCCAGTTGAACTGCCCTTCGAAGAACTCTGCCCATCGTCCAAGACGTCGATGGATGTTAGTGATTGGCATCCCATCATCCTCACAGATTGTTTCGCTCACACCAAACTTATTGCTGCCAGTGGCTCGGATGAGTTGGAAGAGCTTCCGGTAATTACCAGATGCAGCTGTTGCTTAGCGCTCATTAGCACGCATCGACCACCAGGCTTCTCGGCCCTTACGCAAGCTTTGCTCAATTTCATTAAGTACCAGTCGTCGTTTGTAGCCAAACTCACGGTTACCCGGAGTAGACCAACGGGCTTCAATGAGTTGTAAGGAGCCTGAAGAAAGCCAGTACTTATAAGCGGGACGTTTCGCGAAGTCGCAAGCGGCTTTGCTCGCTATTTTCATGGCGTCATGCAATTGCAACCAATGCTCATCTATACTTTTCGGTGGAATGGTAGCTAGGCCAGAAACTAGCTCGGTTCGATACTTACTTGCAACAGAAGTTGCAACCAATTTGCTGATATCAATCCGTTGATGGTGGTCACTTCGTTGTCCACTGAAAAGTAAGGTAAGATTGGCGCAGACCAAGGCATGGTCAGAGTCCAGATAGGTACTCCAAAAGGAGCGGCAGTCTTGTACACAACCACGCCAGCGGTAGCTGATCGCGATGTGATCAATCTGAGTCCAGGATTGAGATGCAGAGGGATGACGCTAGGTGGAACATCAGCGATGACTGTGCCGAAAGTTAGTGCTAGCCAGAAACAGGTTGTGGTCTGTGCACAGTTGCAGTAGACAGTCCCCGTTATCTGTTTTGCGACCAACAATTCCCCATCGGCCACCTAGACGATTCTCTTCTGTACCTAAACGCCCGACCTGAGCATTCAAGTCTCCGGCTAGTACTACAATATCTGTCGAACGCACTTTCTGGAGAAGAACAGTTAACTGATGGTAGATTTCATCCTCGATTGCATCCGGGCTGCAATCTGTCGGGGCATAGGCGATGACGAAAAGACATCGTTTCTCACGCCGATTTCTTCTCACTTTGATGGAATTTTCTAATCTAACAGCATATAACCGACTGTTAATGGGTATCCAATCGATTAGTGCTGCCTCAGCTCTAGCGCTTCGTGCGACACCAATGCCAGCAAGACCACACGAAGATGCCACAGGGTTCCCGAATAAACGCACGTAAAATAAGCTTTTTGAAGCGACAGATGAAGAGCGAATTTGTAGTACTTCACCAGTCTTGAATACGGATCTCGGATAGACAACAAACGTCGATATTAAGACTTTCCAAGGACATAACCAGCCCTATTTGTCTTCCGACCTGCATAAGTGTGCGAACGTTGAAGGCAGCCAGTTTGAATGGCTCACGTGGTTTCAAAAAACTGCTTCGGTATTCGTATTTGGTGGTAGCACGCAATTTTCAACCAGGCAGTGACTCGAGAACGTTTAGATAGAACCGAGTTTCCACCATAGGCGAGCTGCTGTATCAGTCGAAAAATAAGGATACATAAAATGGGAATAAAAAAAGAAAGTGAATGACGTAAATAATAATAATAATAATAATAATAATAATAATAATGTGAATTGTTTGATTGTAAATCGAAGCGAGAACAGAATTTTCAGTAAATATCGTCATTTTCATTTTATTTTTGTGTTGCTGTGGTACTGCCCGGGTGCCCAAATCGAGGCAGGTGGTCTTGTTAGGGGGCCACACCCCGAGACCCCTGGAGTGGTGGAAATAGCCAACTTAGCGAGTAATAGGTGACAGTCTTTATGAACACGAAAGTTATAAGTATGCAGACACATACATTCTAGCATATACATATCTATAAAGCAACCTAGATGTTACAAGAGAGTAATTAGAGAGGGAAAATATATGGGTTACAGGACAAATGGGAAAATCAGGATAATTTATCTGTTTAAGCACGTAGGTGAGTGGTAACAGAGATCCGCTACAAGTTCATACAGGCCCAAAACCTTATATTGACAAATTATTATACAACACACAGTAAGGTGCAGTTTAAGTTTTGGAGCAGTAATATGGTGGTTACGAAACTCAGCTTTCAACTAAAAGGTCACAGGTTTGAATACCATACCAATTATTTTGGTTTGGGCGACTGGCTAGTAACGTATTACTAGCCCTCACACATAAACTATGGATCAAAGTTGACTAAACAGAACCTCATATGACAAGTCTTTTAAAAATGAACGAACAAGAGAGATAAATACTTTAAACAGCGCAATTACTAAGCGTTTCTTGGATACAGGACATCAGGCCAATACCTTGAAATCTATCAAGGTGGTTAATAAACAGTCAAGCCCCAGACTTCTGAAGTTATCTGAAACCGTTGCTATAAGGCGTCCGGAACCTGATTTATGTGTTGAATAGATGATTGTTAGTCTTTCCTTCTATTGGTAGCAAATATTTCTTCATTGCGTCATAAAATTTTGTTCAACTCTTTCAATTAATCACATCACTACGCTTTTTTATTTTAACTGTCATTTAGATTATTAATCTTATTTTAATTAACTGAGCTTTACTCATTCTTACTTTTTATCAGCGTTTACTCACTACGTAACCACTTGTTTCCAGCCCTATGGACCTTTGTTACTACCGACGTTATAGAACTTTCCCTATATAAGGTATGTATTTACAATACTTTATTCCATCTATTAAATTTATTTACACCCTTGCTATATTACACTGATGTCTTTAAAGTAACTTCCAACTGCGCTCCTTCAAGTAATTGTAACCCATTTTGTAAATAAGTGGTCTTGGGTGCTGTTAGAGGTATGAGGGCGGTTATCACTTCCCGGTTGCCCACACCGTGGAAGGGTTCTTCTGGAGGTACCTGAAAAGGAAATTGGATTAGAGGCGGTCTCAGTGACCTGAGAGCGTGACCGCAGTGCCCAAGGGACAACTGCTTGAGGCCGGTCGCGCACGACCTTTTTGTGGAAGGTTTTTGACGTGTTAGCTCCGTTCTTCAAAGGGCCTTACCGCCGGAGACGGAAATCCGTGAGGTAAGGTGAGGTGCGCATTTTTAGGGTCGACCTTTTCTAACCCCATCCCTCCCTGTGGGAAGGCAGCATCGCTGTCATGCTGGTTGTCTGAAGGAAACACCTTACTGCTGTCACACCTCTGTACAGTCAGCAGTACGACTTTGCCTTCGGACCTTGGGTTTGTTGCTTTTAGTCTTAGCGCTCTTCAACCGACCTGTCTGACATGGTAGGACCTTGAGGAACGGTTGTTCCAGCCAGTATAGCTCGGTTGCTTCATCACGATAGACAAGCCCGACCACCACATCAAGGTAGCAACAACGGTCACAAGTAAGCAGCTGACGAGAACCACACGAAATAAAATGAATTCATGTTATTCTGCTTAAATCTTTGTTATTGCTTTCTTCGGAAATGAATACTTTAGGTGACTATGAAATCTTTTTCTGGTTAGTCAATACTTGAGAACAGAATTTTTCCTAGCATATTACTTTATTCTGATTTCTTTAAATATATGTAATTGCATTTTGTCTGGTATATATACTTGACCTGAACTGTTTAAATAATTCCCCTACTAAAATAAACAATAAATACTAGGTTTCAAGGTACTTTAAATTCTCAAAGCACAGAAATAGACAATAAAACAAAATCCACAGATGACAATGAATAAACAGCAACAAAATTTGGTCTACATGCATGCGACGAAAAATGCCAATAAAAAGTACTTCGACATTCTGTGTCTTACCTCCAGCCAATGTTATAAGTGGACCTATTTTGTGTGTGACAGCAGCTTTTCTTGAGTCTGTACTGAGTGTGTGGATTGAACTCTGAGGACATTCAGAGTGCACATGTATTTCTGAATGCCCATCTGACATAGCTGAATTGGATAGAATAGGGATAGGAAGGGCAACATTTGTTTGAGAATGGGGATTAAAATTTTGGGACTTCCCAGATGTGTAAGATTGAGATGTCGTTACTCGGTTTTCAGGTAACAACTTGTTAACAGACTCCCAAGATGACCAAACTGATGGGTTAATCACAGGATTCCCTGGAAACAGTGAACTTTGTGTGAGTTCATTGGATGAAACTGTTTGTTGAGATTTTTGTTGCCTGCTTCTCGTAGAATTTAATTCATCTGGAGATGATTGTTCAAAAACACTTGTATTCGGTTGTACAACGTAAGGGTTGTGACGCAACTGCTCTTTCTGTAATACAGAGCTTGTTTTTGTACCTGTCACACATGGATTCGGTCCTGAACTATTCTTTGACGATTCTGTAGAACAACGAATGGTAGGGTCTCTTAAATACACAAACGATGACGGAAGATCGTTTGACGGACAGTGGGGGTCGAAATTCCCATTTGACTGTTGAAACTGTAAGTCTGAAACACGAATTATATCACTTTTAATAACAATGATGACTTTGGAATACAGAAAAAAGTTAGATACAACAGAGCACATATGAAAATCAGCGACAAACTAATACAATCATTTTACTTCTTAAAAGACTCTTCAGAAGATAACAAGATATTTGATAGTGTGTAGGTTTAATTATTCTCAATCAAATGTTTAAAAACTCAGTTGTAAATTGAAGGTAATGCTGAGAGTTCATTTCACTCAATTTTTACAGGACAATCAAGTCAATTTGTAATCTATAATTCAAGCACATAAATCCTAAATAAACATTCTAATTATGTGGCCAAGTACATGCTAATGTACTCGACCCTAACCCAGAACAACTAACTATCATTTGACGGTGCTGTCATAAACTAAACTTTTCTCAAATTTCGTCACTGTGTACCGGTGTCGCCAAATAACATGATGTAGGAAAACTGCTTGAACGATATGAGGAAAATCAAACCAAGAAAACAAATACAGTGTTCTAAGATGGCAGTACTCGCTAAATCCACATCTCTACCAAGCAAATACCCGCTAATGAACCTTAGCATTATTCAAAATGTGTTGCCATTAAACGCATGCCATCCCTGAAACTAAAGAACATCCTTAGCTCGAAGATTAGTTTTGATAGATGTAGGTTGCGAATTGTGCACCTGACCTTTATAGCTGGACTAACATTGTAACAATGGTAAATGTAGTACAAATTATGGAACTTCACTATGATCATCTATTTCATCTTACACCCAGAATCAACTGGTTGTGTTACATTAAATAGTCTCATAAGAACAAAAACACTGAAAATGCGGGAGAAAACGTACTGACAGGACTATACATCAGTCCCCTCAGTTCATGAAGGGCAGAAAGAAATTCTGTGGAAGGATCCTGGTCCAGGTAGGAAATAAGTCTCAATTGAATATCCTGCTTTAGACCTCCACGAGGAAGATTGGTTAACTTTATAAGTTTATCAAGATCTGCCCGTCGACAGCGTTGGATGAAAGCCTAAAACATCTTTATGCGAGTAACGATATATACCTTAAGCTCTAAGAGGTCACGAGTTTGACGCATGGAAGATTTCTCTTTGCCGAGCTTAAGCTTTTCTGCAAGAATAAATTATCTAAGTAGTCCAGTGGAAGCAAAGCACTTATCAACACCGGTTAACGGACAGTACCGATATTTTTTATTCACGCGCTTATCCAGTAGACAATATCTTCAAATGGTTCAAATGGTTGTGGACGGAATAGAAGAAGCTTTCGCTTAACAGGCTTCCGTGTCTAGTAGCAGGGGATCACCAAATCCTCCAGGCAGGAACCTAGGTATGTTAACAATAAAAGAGGAAAAGAAATTGGTAAATCATAGTGTGATGCCGTCCTTGGTCCTTAAGAATAGGTCAAGTTGCCTCTTGAAGGACTCCTGAGAAATCGCTTGGACTAGTTCGGCCGGCAGCGAGTTCCAGCTTTTGACAACTCTTAAGGAGTACATGCCTTCATTGAAGTTGTTTATTGATGTATTCGTGTCCATTCAGGCTGACGGCGAGCATGATAGGCTATGATATGTAGATACTGATACAAACCTTCCAAAATATTTTTAAAGTCACCTAGCGGAATATGTTTGAAATTAATCAATTCTGGTCACTTAATTTATCAGCAAATATGAGATATGAAACACGAATACACTGTTGAACTAATAATCAGAGTACTACCTTATTTGTTAGGTAACAGTAAAGGTGCCACATGTATTCGGAATTTCACAACATTCTCAAACGTAGTGCAGGACCAGTGAAATGTCACTGAGCCCTAGCCAAATCATCCGGCAGTTGGATCACTGAATGTCGAACAGATCGTCGCTCCCTGCCAAGGTCATGTACAACAAACGCGCATCAGTTAATGGTATGCCATGGACTGACCCATGCGACAGTCGTCTTACTTTCGTGCCATTCCGAAACACCGAGAGACGATGAATGAAGTATACTAAATCATTCAATTCAGAAGTAAGAAATGAACAGGTCCGAAAATACATTTGAAAAGCTGTAGTGACGTACGTTTATCAAGAGAACGCAATTGGTATAATGGAAAGAACTATTATTATAACCATTTGTTCCACTGATTATTTTACTATACTTGTTTGTTTAACTGTACTAAAGACATTCTTCCTTCCGTTGGTTGTGACCTTGCACGAACTTACGTTTGCTCAGTAGTTTCGCTTGTACTCCTTTGGCACGATCTCGGTATTATTCCGATACCACGAGATCGCCAACAAATATATATCGTCACAACCTTCAGTCACCTTCTGATTTCTGGTTTACCCGGAGGTTTAGCCTGTTCTGGTACGCAATCTTCTTGTAGTGGTGACCATAGTCAAACGCGACTCGACGCCACACTACAAAGCTATCGATATGTTGAGAAGCGTTTGTTCTAAGATGGCTAGTAGTTGCAAAGGACGCGTAGCACGATGTGCTCTTTTCTGATCTGGAGCGGGTGCACGACTGAGAGCTTTCAGCTAGGGTGTATTTAGCGAAACTAATGAAGTCAGCATCAATGTCGTAGACTTGACGAACTACCGCCATAAGTGCATAACAGAGGTGAGTTTTTGAGTACAGTAATTGTAGACGTAATGACTTGATGAAAGTTTAAGTTGTTCAAAGGAGATTCACAACAGAAGTTTTGGGTTATTCTGACAACGATGATTATCACCAAAGATATCAACAACTCCAGTCAGAATCTCCCTGGATCAGGCTCATTAAATGAAGCCTTGCATTTAACAACAGACTTGTGGATGGTATTTCTTACTCTTCGTCAACCAATCCTTCATATTCAATTATATCACTACACAACCTATTCAATAAAAAGAGTATTCTATTGATTACAAGAACCTACACAAACTTACGCTGCAATTTTTCCTTGTTCACTATTCAACCATGTAAAAAAGTTCTAGTGAGCCTCTGTTGCAGTGAAAATGTGATCTAGTTTCAAATCTCCTTGATGGCATTCTTACCGAGAGCGGTTTTCGTCCTTTATTAAACGTCAGCGTGTTTACCAATGATTTATGCAAATGAGGTCTAATATCTACCTGAATGACTGTTAAACAAAGTAGAGCCTTTGAACTTTTGTCAGTTATTTTACTTTGTTCATCTAAATACCCAAAGTCTGCTTATATTCAAATTTATTATTATTACTATCATGATTGATCCTCTGATACATGAAATATTCTTCCCTTCCGTTCTCTTCTCTCTCGTTCTCTTTTTCCTTCCACATATATTCTGTTCGTAAACATCCCAAGTTTATAGCTAGACACATTATCTTGTGTTGCACCTATGTAAATTAACTTTACACATTAATTTTATGTTCATCACGCATATATGACCCATACAAATTCATATTTGAAGATTATTCTCTGCAATTAATTAATACTTTCATAGCATTATTCTACGCAATTACTGCACAAACTCTTATTCTGCCGACAAATCTTACTGCATAGATGATTTGTTTTCTTATTTATTTATTTATTTATTTTACTTGCTTCGTGATACACATATATTAACTCTGCCTGTAGCTCTTCTAGGGCTGCCACCGGTCTCAAGCCCGAATAGACGAAGAGGGTTAGGCGTAGGGTGGGTAACCCAAGCCCATGAAAAATAACCTTGCTAAAACAACGCTAATCATAATAAACAAACTAAACCGTTTGAAATCTGCACTTCGAGTTGGATGATCTTCCAAGAGAATTTAAACGCCTCATGGTGAAAGCCGAGATACTTCGAAAGTCATGGACTGGAAAAAAAGAATACCTAATCAAAATACCAAAGAAAGGAGACCTGAAAAAATGTAAAAACTAAAGGGGAACCACATTGCCATCGGTACCAGGAAAAGTTTTCAACAAATTGTTACTGAACCTGATGAAAGATTTAGTAGACGCCAAACTCCGAGATCAACAAATCGGATGTCGTAAGGATTGGCGCTCACAGACGAAGTCGTGACACTACAAATCGACGCTGAATAATCAGTTAAATGGAACTCGTCGCTATACATCAGCTTCCTTGACTATAAAAAGGCGTTTGGCAGTGTGGATAGGAGAACATTATGGATGCTTCTTCAACACTAAGGGGTGGATACCTGAGAAGATTGTCAATACTATCCGGATTCATATGACGGGCTGCAGTGCAAAGTCGTGCATGGCGGAAAGTTGACAGATGCATTCCAAGAATGGGCTAGAGCCAGACAAGGCTGATTACTCTCTTCTCTTCTTCTTTATCCTAGTGGTTGGCTGGATTATGAGGACCTCGACACCTGATGGGAAGCATGGAATATAATGGATGGCTTGGAATCAATTGGAAGATCTGGACTTCGCAGATGACCTGACCCTTCTATCCCATACAAACGAACAAATGCAGGTGAAGACAATCAGTGTAGTAACAGCCTCTACATCAACAGGCCCCAACATACACATAGGAAAAAGCAAGATCCTCAAATACAAAATGGAGAACAGTAATAATAATAATATATTTCTGCATGAGCAGGTACACACCATTTTTACAAGCATGATCTACAAATCACAACATTTGTTGGCTCACAGCATGCTTCCTAACTCATTAAGTTTATAGTTGTTTTAAAGTAGTTTCATAGAGCTCTTGCTGTAAACTATGACCCTAAGGAGACACGTACGTCAAGTTTGTTCCAGACGTCAGTAGTAACCAACTCATGCTTGGTGGAGGAGTTCCGGAAGGGGTGAAATCTTTCACGTACCTGGACAGCGCCACCGATGAACCAGGAAGATACAACGCGGACGTAAAAGTAAGGACTGACAAAACAGGGGTAGAATTTTCACAGTTGAAGAACATATGGAACTCAAAACAACTGTCAGACAACATTGAGGTTAGAATCTTCAATACGAACGTCAAAACAGTTCTACTGTACAGGGTTGAAGCTTCCAGAGCTACTTCAATCATAATAAAAATGTGCATCTATATATAAATAATTGTTTGCGCAAGATACTCCAGATCCGTTGACTGGATACCATCAGCAGCATCCTACTGTGAGGAAACAAGCCAGCTTCAAGATGGAGAGAAAACATTCTGGAAGTGAATAGGATATACGTTACGGAAATCACTAAACTGTATCAAGAGGCAAAGACTAACTTGGGATCCTGAAGGGAAACGGAAGAGTTGAAGGCCACAGAACACACTGAGTAGGGAATCGGAGGCAGATATGAAAACGATGAATAGCAATCTGAAATAACTGGAAAGGGTTGCCCGGGACAGTGTTAGATGGAGAATGATGGTGGACGGCCTGTAAATTTGTTATATACTTCGTTATCAATACTGCTCTACTAATAGACCTAGTCTTAAAATTGTAGATTTGTGATGATGTAACTGCCTGATCTACAAGACCTTACGTGGAAGTCACATCATTGTCTACATAAACACTTCGCATCCTAACAACCACCAATATATGGTGGATAACACACTTAGTCTAGAGATAGAACAATATATTTAATATGAATAAAAGATATGAGAAACACTCAAGAATGACCACGCCTGCAAGGCCAAGCCATGCCATCCGATTAATTGAATTCATTCTTCACCTCGGAAAAAATTATTTGGTGCTTCATGGAAATCAACATCTCATTACTGAACCCTTGGTTTTGGTAATGATAAGACAGTACCCATGTATGCTTTTGTTAATTGTTTCTGTAAAGTGCCCTAAAGTTAATTCAGTGAATGGGTAGAGAGAATGTTCAACAGTATGTGATTCAATTCGTTGATTTCATATAAGAGAAACTTCTCATCGAATACATTCTATCCTATTCAAATGGTTCAAATGGTTGTGGACGGAATAGAAGAAGCTTTCGCTTAACAGGCTTCCGTGTCTAGTAGCAGGGGATCACCAAATCCTCCAGGCAGGAACCTAGGTATGTTAACAATAAAAGAGGAAAAGAAATTGGTAAATCATAGTGTGATGCTGTCCTTGGTCCTTAAGAATAGGTCAAGTTGCCTCTTGAAGGACTCCTGAGAAGTCGCTTGGACTAGTTCGGCTGGCAGCGAGTTCCAGCTTCTGACAACTCTTAAGGAGTAG